CGATTGAAAGCAGAATATTTGAATAGATATATAAATATAACAGTTTTTCTTTATGAAGAAATGATATCTAACCTGACAATCGTTCTTGATTGATAATTATAAATATTCCATGAAAATCTCTTCTATATGGTATCTGCACACAATAGCCTTACAATATCTCCATCGATTCACAATTTCAAAGATGATTCAATCACATTTACTGTTCATTCGATCAGTAGATTTGAAAACAGGCTTATCCAGACAAAACATCAAACAACAACCTAAAAACAAAACGAAGCCAGCATACACATATTGAACGATCATGATGCCGAATACTTGTTAATAGTATTTTTCAGAACAAGGCAAAGAAGATACGAGTGTTGAATTCTTTAATGTCATTCGAATCTGTTCCATTTCTCCAGTTGAAAAAGCCCAAAGATCCATAGTCAAACGGAACAATGGCATGTACATATATAGCTGATAGCTATCCATATAACATGATCATAGGAAGTTGGCTTTTTGAGTAACAACCTGTTGATGACGTAAATCAATATACCCAAAATGTATGGAATATTCAGGAATAAGGAAGCACGTATCCAGCCAAGATTCGTATTTGAAAGTGAACAATTCTAACAGGCGAGAACAATTTGATATGTAGAAAATACTAGCAAAACAATGATTAAAAATGAAGGAAGTAGATAATATGAAGATATTTCATAAAACATTCACAAATATTATGCAGTCGAGTTTTGGACACAATCGGATGTATATTTATATTAACTGAAGAATTAATATTTGGAGAAGATAAAATAATAATAAAATCTGCATAGGGTGGTTGAGTTGATGATAAAGAAAACATTTCTTCTCTGTCATTATACATTCCAATTGTTCATTTAATCTCAGAGAATGATATGCTGTTTGATAGTTGATGAGAGTGTTGTCCAATTATATGATAAGCTTTTTTTTTGTTCATAGGTGGACGAATCGAGTGATACATTTTATCAATTACTTTTATTTATACTTTGCCTACCTATTCTGTGCATATGCGTAATACCATATATCGCATACTTGGCTTTTGCCTAGTCACGATAATGAATAATATTTTATTGTATTCAGAAAAATAAGACTACAGGAAAAATGACCATTTTTTCGCAACGTTCATTCTTAGATCTTTATACTATCTTTAAACTCATCAGTAATTGTGATTCTGTTCAATATCATGAATAAATAATATTCTTCTCAGACAATGTATAAATTTTGTATGTCAATATTAGATATGTGAACATTTCCAATACAAAAATGCATTTGTTGACCGTAGGAAAACTCCACTCTCATTAATTCTTCTGCGAAAACATCATTAGCATAATCCTTGAAAATTTCTTGAAGAGGCACAACCTTCTTCCCGTGTTCTCTTCTACCTGTGGTACCATCACAAGTAATTTTATTGATTTCAAGTGATAAATCTGAAGAAAACGAATAATTATATTAATATTGGAAATACATAAGAAATTGTAAGCGAGTTTTTTTTTACAGTTGTTTTATTTACTTTTGTTTTTATTACAATTAAAAAAAATAAAATCTATCAATACACCATAAAACAGTCTTGTTTATGCTTAATAAAGGCTATAATTAGATCACACGAATTAAGTAAGTATGTAAGAAAATAAATGAGTCAAGAAAAAGCACAAGAATCTTACTGAAAAAAAAATCTTTAGTGACAGTCAAGAACAATAATAATTTGATTTTCAGACTGAATAAATCTCATGGATAGATAGGAATAGTTCTAGTTAAATAAAATAATACCACCACACCCACACCCCAACTTTTTTTGTATAGTTCATTGCAACATGATAAAGTTAGGATGTGAGTGTGAGTGTATATTGTATTTTTACAGAATTCCACATCCATTGTGAGATCTTTTTTCTAAATTGAATACAGCCCGTTAAAGGAAGGTCATGAAGAGATCGAAGACATGTTATTTTGCAATATCAGACAAAATCTTTTTCCAAATGTTTCAAATCGAAGCCAGAAAGTTGATTTTAGCTGATCTCTGGTTTTTGTATACATCGTCATCCAAGTAGTTTTGCTAAACACTTCGAGTCTACCAATTCTAATAGAGATTCATTTCTATTATATAAAGGTTTTTGACTTTGAGAATAGAGTTGTAAGTTGATTGAGTGAGATGTCACCACGATACAAAAATAGTTGTTTGACTTTCAAAAATTTCCAACGTTTCAAATCAATCTTTACAAATGTTACTATCTGATTTCTTATCAAAAAATTCTTTGTGCCATCGTTTTCTCTTTTTTTCATTTCAAATTTCAACCATCTCTCTAATTGAGAGAGAGAAAGCAAATAACATAACACTTTGAAATAAGACATTATAGAAATTATTGATTTTTTTTCATCTATATTGAATGATAGACAGAATCTGCCGACATAGATCATATTTTGTATGTTGGACCTCCGCTTCTAGGACTAATTGAAATGTTTTTTAAATGAATTATAAGAATCGTTCCAATGCTAGGATTTATGATAGTATTTGATATTGTGTATTAGGATTTGTAATAGAAATCTTTTTATGGTATATTAATCAAAAGAAAGTCTTGAGTAACAAAAATAGAATTGACCGAATAAGAATTTAAAGTTTGAATATATGAAATAAGAAAGTCATTAAAGCCAATTTGGTCAATTATTTTCGAAATTGAATCTAGTGGGCTCTAGTCGAGACTTATATAAATCATAGAAATATAAGAAAGAAGATTAAATTTGAACATACATACAATATGTCAGGTACTAATCATACGATTCTATGCATGTTCGTAGACATTCTACAATACTATTTAATACAATTTTTCAAATATCATCATCAATAAAAAATCGACATGTTAGAATACTTGATGTCCTTATGTAAAATTGAATAGGACTAATTTAAAACTTTTTCTTTTTTCATCGGTAATGTGTAGACGTACGGTAGTTTCATATCAATTTCGATCTTGAGAATTATTCCAATAGTTCTTTTGATAGAGACTAATCTATATTGCAGTTATTTTTGAATGGGCTGATGTCATCAAACATTTCATTTTAACTTTTGCATTAGACTTATAATTGGCTTCATTCTGAACCATGCTGATGAACTATACAAATATGCTAGAATGAAGTTAACGAAAATTTAATGTTCGAATAGAAGAACTCAATTCTCAAAAACAGAATCTTCTTCTATAAAGAAAAGTGTTCCAAGACTTAGTTTCCCTCCCTCCCCAAAAAAAAGAACTATTCTCTTGATATAACAGTGTATTTATTATCAAATCAAAGATCATTCTATTCTTCGAATTCTTATGATCATGAATCATTGATGATTATTTAACTAACAAGAGCTATATCTTGATTATTTATCTTAAATTTTCTAAGTCAAATAAAAAAAAATTTTTTTTTTCTAATCGAAAATCAATATGAAAATAAACAGCATGTAAAGAAAATAATTTGAAATAAGTTATTGAATAGAACATTTTTTTAATGTATGATATTGATCATGATGTGAAAGGTCAATATTATTATTAGTATTGATCCACAAAATGAATTTTTTTTCTCTATAAGCAATGTTAAATACTTTCATTTCAAATGTATTCATTTGCAATCTACTATGTTGTTTGATCCAACCATAATTTGGTGCATATTGATCTTTACTTAAACGTAATGTAAGTTGTTCAAGATGAATAAGTTCATTTAATAAATAGCAAAGTTTTCGTCGTGAATGATAATCTGTTGTTAAATGAGTTAATCGTGGAAAAATTCGACATATATGATAGAAAAGTTGTTTTCTTGTTGTTGGTTCATAATCGAATAGAACAAGATGTCGAATAGAAAGATTTGGTGATGAAAGTTGACTAAATAGATTAAGACTATGTAAGTATTGAATATGAATCGATGAAAGATTAATCATATTATTAATCAATTCAATCAAAGTTTCGGTAGTATTAATAGTTGATGAAAATTTAAAATGTTTAATCATACTAAGATCAATATTATTTTGAATTATTTTATAAACATGTGTTGTTAAGTATCCATTCAATGATAATCGTGTTACATGATTAAAATTTAGTTGAAATACAGAATGAAACATTAACATTTGTTCAAAATCATTATATTTAATCAAATCAATATTTAATTCATTGATATTTGAATAAAATATTTTAGGATTTTGTATTAAATGAAGTGAATATGAATGATAATTATTAAAAATTTTTGATGCAAAATAAGGTACAGTAATAAGAACATTTTGATAAGTATCATATTCGACAAACCATCGTTTTTCTTCTAACCACCATTGAGATTTAAATGTATTCAAAAGAGAACGAATATTTTGTTCGGATGCTTGTTGAATAGAAAATTTAAAATTAAATATTTTCAAAAAAATGAATGATGTTGAAAGAAATGATTTCCATTGCATTCCATTCAATATATTATTATCTACTGTTAATGGTTGATTTAGTATTAATGTTAAATATTTTAATCGATACATTGTTGATAAAATTTCTTTTAACATATCAAATTCCATATTAATTTCAACTAAAATATAAAAAATCAAAATATTCGATGAAGTTTTTCAAACATAAACTACATATGATTACAAACAAATTTTAAACAAGAGATTCGTTAGATCTGATTTCGAAGCAAATGTTCTATAAAGATAGTTTTGCTTCTGATAATAAGGCAACTAAACAAATGTGTCGAACTAAAAGACGAGAAGATTCTAGGTGTTATTTCAGATATTTACTTAATTAGCTTGAGTTCATTCAATTATTGGAACTAAATAAGTTTTAAAAAATTGATCCTTTTTTTTCTCCAAGAGAACTCGTATTAAACGTGACTCTCAATTGTCATAATCATCTTTACTAAAATAATTAGGGGTCGACAAGCTCAGTTCAGTTCCGCTCAGAGAAACTGTTCAAACAGCTCTTTTGAGCTGAGCTAAACTGGTGAACCGGATCGTTTGAGCTGTGTTCCCAAAATAGAACACTTTTGTTCCGTTTTCGGGAAATAATTCCCATAACAGAACAAAAGTGTTCTGTTTTTGGAGTACAGCTCACAGCTCAAACGAACCGGTTCACCAGTTCAGCTCAGCTCAAAAGAGCTGTTCGAACAGTTCCTCTGAGCGAAACTGAGCTGAGCTTGTCGACCCCTGAAAATAATCACACATCCTATGTCAGTATTAAGTGTATTAGTTTTTTTTCTCTATACAAATAATTTCATTTTCTTAACTTATTCATTTTTTTTCTAAATCAAATTAATTGCTATAAACAAAAAAGAAATTATAATTCTAGAAAATTTCAACACAGATTAGAATTAAAAGTAACTGTGAGATAATTTTCTTATTTGTTCTAGATAGATCTTAATAAGATATATTTGAAAATTTGATATTATGACAAAGATGTGTTCCTTTTCGTTGAAATTTTCTGAATATTTTAATGTGTAATGAATCTTCACAGAGAGAATTTTAGAGCATCTTTTATTAATAAACTATCCGAAATTAAATTTATTCTGTATTATTTTTATATTGTTCACATTATATTGACTGTCATGTTTTTCACACTTTAGTCCCTTTAAAATGTGTTGTTTGTGTGTAAAGAAAAACCTCACATTTACATTAAATGTGCATTAAACACTGTATTTATTTTCTTATTTACCATTGAAATTTAGATTAAATTGAATTAGTTGACTCCATTGATAATCATTACAGAACAACATAAATTGATTAATATCATTTAAATTGACCTGAATACCAACACCAAGTGATTTTAGTTGATACATATTCGGACGAATAAATTGATCCATATCATTAGGAGAATTAAAATACATATGTAAACATGTCAAATGACTTGGTATTTCTTTAGATAATTGTTGAAAGTCATTGCTCGAGGATGTAACAAGATGTGAAAGAGAATCAAATGAGTACTTTGATAATGTATCATGTTTACTAATATGAATACGATCAAAACGAATTGAAATGAGATTATTATAGTTTATCATTGATGACAATCTTGACATAAATAATTCATCCACTATGATTGTATGATCAATCCAAAGTGAACGAAGACGAGTAAATGATTGTTGATTTGAAAAACTCGATAGAAATCGATCGACCAAATCAAAATTTGTTTTACCAAATTTTAATCCAATAATTTGTTCTGGTCGTAGAAATGAACAAATAAGATCCATTTCATTTTTCGATATATCTGATGAAGATAAATCCAAAATATATTGATCATAATTAATGAGAATATCATTCAAATAATTATTTATCGAATGAAATGCTCGTAATATATGATAACATGAAAGATAAGATAGAATTTCATAAAATAATTCGACTGATAAATCGTCCAAAACTAAGTTAGACATAATGTTATTTCACGTGTGCACGTACACGAACGTCAAAATGAAAAAAAAAATCAGAAGATACTATATTTTCGTAGAGAGAAGAGGAACAGTGATTCATTCAAAATGGTAAAAACCAACCTATTTTTAGTTTCGTACGATATGGATACATACTTCCATCTACAAATAATGAGATGATGTAATACGCTTGTATTTTTTCAAACATACAAAAAAAAACAGCAAAACATAATCTTGGAAAATAAGGAATTCTTACATCATCGATTTTTGTATTTTTCACTATTGTTGTAGTATTTTTCTTTTGTGTAAACACTATCGTCCTTGAAAAGTATACTCAATTCATGACAAAATACCAGGTCACTGTTTTAATGATAATAAGAAAGAGAATCACTTTAAACTTTTAGTAAATGACTTAATATTTTCAGATTAATAAAACGGTTATTGGTTCAATCAATAATATCTGACAACTTACATAGAACTAACTTAGTTTAAAGAAAATAGCTGGACGAGAAAAAAATGACATATATCTTACAAAATGCATATTAAACTAAACCGTAGAATATTTCATCGTGCACTGTTTTTCTAGAACACATTTCTCAACTAAAAAATTTTCACAAATTATTTGAAAAATATCTTGATGTTTTCTGCTAAACATACACAATGATAGACAAAAGACTTTTTTTCGAGATATATTAATAAAAAATAGAAAGTAAAGTGTGATCTGTTTAATAGCTCATGATAAGTATCATGATTTTTAAATAAATTCCATGATAAACTTTTTATACAAAAATAATCTTGATAAATAATAACAAAAAAACAAAACACTCGAATTGATGTTTGAATATGGGCCATTTTCTTGATAAAGAAATGCTATTTAACCTGATGGTTATTATGATGACTGATGATTATAAACTATTCACGACAGTTTCTTCTTTGTGACGTCTGAGAACGATGGCTTTACAATATCTCCATCGATCCACAATACTAAAGATGATTCGATCACATCTACTGGTCGTTCGATCAAGAGATTTGAAAATAGAACAACGCATATAAAACATCAGACAACAACAAAGAATTAAAAGGAAGATAGGATACAAAAAGTTAGCGATCATAATCCCAAATACTTGTCGATAATGACTATCAGAGCAAGGCAACAATGCTACGGCTGTTGCATTGTTTAATGTCTTTCGAATTTGGTCCATTTCTATACCTTGAGGAAAGTAAAAAGCCAATATATGCCAACACGATATCCACAGATAGTGTGTGGCTATCAATAGAGCATGATGATACGAAAATGATTTTTTGTCTATCAATATGATGACGATGTAGATCAATATACCCAAAACAAATGGAATGTTCATGAATAAGGAAGCACGTATCCAGCCAAGAGCTATATTTGGAAGTGGACAATTGTAACTGGCGAGAGCAATTTGGTATGTAGAAAATGCCAGCAAAACAACAATTAAAAATGATGGAAGTAGATAATGAAGATATTTCATAAAACATTCACAAATATGATGCAATTGAGTTTTGGGCACAATCGGATGTATATTTGTATTAACTGAAGAATCAATATTTGGAGAAGATAAAATAATAATAGGATCTGCATAGGGTGGTTGAATCGATGATAAAGAAGACATTTCTTTTTTGTAATTATGCAATCGAATGGCTTACTTGACCAACGAAAATAATATTTATTTGATAATAGATGAGAAACATGTGCCATTTATATGATAAGTTTTGTTTTTTGTTTATAGGTAGACGAATCGAGTGATAGATTTAATCATTTTCTTTAATTGATTCTTCGTTTACCTTTTCTATGCATATGCATGACACGATATCATATACTTTTTTTTTCTCTTCCTCACAACCGTGAAGCATATATTTTTGTATATAGAAAATTAAAGTTGCTGGAGAAATGAATATTTTATCACAATATTCGTTACCATATCTTGGTAGCATTTTTACCTAGACCACGTAGAAATTATTATTTTGTTTAATTTCATACACAAATGATAATTTTTCTCAGACAATATTTGAATTTTGCATGTCAATATCAAATATGTGAACATTTCCGATAAAAAAGATGCATTTTTTTGACTGTAAGGAGACGCGTGATTTTTTGGTCAAGAGAAACTTCACTCTTCTCAGCCCTTCTGTGAAAGCATCATTAGCATAAGCTTGGAAAATTGCTCGAAGGGACACAACCTTCTCCTTTTTTTCTTCTACTTGTACTGCCATCACTAGTGATTAATCAGTTGAATTATAGTTGTTTATAAACTTTCCTACAACGTTGTTATCAACACTATCACTTGATAAGAGATCACGGATTATCGATTCCAAGTGATATCTGTCAAAAAAACGAATTATTATAAGATGTATATATTTTTTAGGAGTATTTTAAAGTCTCTATGTGATTTTTTCTGTCAATTATTCTATTACCTTTTTTTTAGTCCTTTAATTAAAATTAAAAAATGAAACTGAACAGCAAAAGAAAAATTAGTCTGGTCAGTACATAATAAAAGCTACAAATAGATCACAAGAAGCAGACAAATATACGAAAAAAAAATAAGTACAACAATTTTATTGACAAGATTCGATCTACATCGATCTTATGAGAAAGTTAACATCTATTTTATTAAGCAAGAACAACATCAATTCTGATTCTGAGATACGATGAATCTCATGGAGTAGTAACTAGGGTTCCAGTTGAATAGAATTACAGCAGGCAGAGACTTTGTTTTACAGTTTATTGCGGCACGAGTAAGTTGACTATAGAATGATGAACATCTCTGAAATGTATGACGATCAATTCGAATACAAAGTCAATAGCATTTTAATTACATCTGTTACATAACAGATTTAATTATCAATATCGACAAAATCGATGTCATACATAATAATTATAATCTACATATTAAAAACAAAATGTCTTATTATTCTTAACACATTCACCACGATGGGATCCACCGGTGGACCCCACTTTGCATTTCATATTTTAATCTCTAAATACGTTTTATTAAAAAAGCAACATATACCATAAGATTCAGCGTGAAAAGCTCTACAATCCCCATAGTAAAGCTTATTTTAATGGTGTAATTTTTGTTCTCAAAGAAAGTAAAACTGTGCGTAACTAGTTCTCAAAGTTGCGAAACGGTCATTTTTTCTGCACGAATGTGAAATTTCATTTTTCTTGTTGCATCTTTTTATCACCTAATATTATTTCGTAAGAAAAAACAAAATATAGCACAAGATGCAGTGTGAAACGCTCTACAATCTACATCGTAAAGTTTATTGTTTGTTTTCGAAAAAAGTAAAATTCTGTGCAATCAATTTTCGCAACCTCAAAAATTGGTCACACACAATTTTAGTTTATTTTGAAAACAAAAAGTACACAATTGAAATAAGTTTTATGATGTAGATTGTAGAGCTTTTCATGTTGCATCTTGTGGTGTGTTTTGTTTTCTAATAAAACGTATTTAAAGATGTTAGTTTCTATGGAATTTGAATCGTGGTGAATGTGTTAAAAACAATCCATCTAGTGAAAGTTGTCTCAGTTTGAATGATTAATTGGAATATTGAAGAAAATCAATGGTTAATCACAATTCATTGACTATTTCATGACAAGAAGAATGCAGGAATGGTGAAGAATAGAATTGTTTTTTTTTGTATAGGTATTCAAGTGATGCTTTCTCAAATAGAATGAGACCAAAAATATTTTTTGAAATTGATATTTCGTTAAACCATGATCATTCGTACGAAATATGTATTAGTGAATTCATATCAGTTCGATAAAAAAAAACAAAAGAAGATAAATTTGTGTCTTCTGTATATGTGAGTGATCTCATTTTACTGCAGAATCTGGTAAAAACTGCACAGTATGATGGTACATATACTTGTCTTGAAGAAAAGAAAACAAATTTCATAGAATCGTCAACGAAAAGCTTACAGCACTATAAGGAGTGTTTAAATTTTCACTAAATATATTCCTGGGCAAGCTTTTTTTTAAAAAAAAATAATACTGTGGCTAGTAAGAATTGTTTTAGACAAATGTGAGAGACTTTTCTATTTCGTTTTTCAAATATATGTTGAAAAATTTCATAATCATCATAGCCATGTCAATAAGATTGGTTATATGTAAAACTGAGAACAGTCATTAATCAATAGGACCATCGAAATGTGTTTGAATAAAGTATAAATTATGCATCATAAAATATCATTAATGAAACTCGATTTGCACTAAAAATCGAATATACATCGGCAAAATTCATCGATTTTGCGCAATTTTTACTACATAGAAGTGGACAATTTAACGAACATATAGAGAAAAATAAGAGGATAAAGACATATTGTATTGTGTTAATCAACTAGTCTATAGTATTGAAAGACAAAACAAATTCTGATTAGTCATATATTATACAGGAACAAAATAGATTGAAATTGAAACATTGAAAATCGGTTTAAGCTATCATTCAAGCAATACATTAGCAACGTAAATAATGAAGAGAGTTTAAAAATGATTACATTTGATTACTCTAGGAGGAGACAGGATCATCCAAGGATTATGTCATTATGCTGAGACAAATATAAAGTGCATGTGGGGACTCTCATTATCCACATTTCACACATCTACACCCGCACCCTCAAGTGACTAAAGGAACAAAAATAATTTTATTGTTGTCATCAAATGAGTAAGCATGATAAAATCAAACGGCATACATTTGATTTCTAAAAACCTTATAAGATAGTATTTCATAAAAATAACTCGACTGGTAAATGATCTAAAAATATGCTGTCCATAATTTTATTTCACGTATGCACGTATACGCAGACTGAAAAAACAAAAAATAAGACAAATTATGTTTTTTTTGTGGAGAGAAGAGAAACATTGAATCACACAAAATGGTACAAACCAATCTATTATTAGCTTCGTACGATGCGTATACATATTTCAATTTATAAATAACGAGATGATGAAATAAGTTGGTATCTTTTCAAAAATATTA